ATTTTTCAGGAAGTGAGGTTTGAAAACAGGGATGGAGATGTCTTATAATCAGCCATTCCATATACACCGTACAGTATAGCAGCACTGTAATACCAATATAGTTCCTAACACACAGTATATAGGCACTCTTCAAAAGTGATATAGAGCATTTTATGAAATACTTAAAGTAGCATAACTCTGTTTTTTTTTATCACTTAGTAGAAACTCCTCAACAGGCTGAACATAACAAACACCTTTCATATATTAATGCCTCACAAATGTGTTATTGCAGAAATATATGCCCATCTACACAACCAGCAGACACGCAGATACATTAGCATTTATTTGTAGTCAGGTACAAACATAGTGTAAGCTCAATATTTGCTCCCCATCTCCCTCTGTTTTAGTGTTTACAAGCTCCTTAAAAAACACATCTGTCCTCCGCTGGCACCAGTTTGTCTGTGTACAGTTTGCTGCCTGAAGTGGCTGAAAATGATGCTGAGGAGTGAGGTGAAACTGAACAGATTTGTCATTTAAAAAAATCTAAACAATGCGCTGAAAGTCACTAGAAAGCTTTAAATGGCAGAGGGTAACTGTAGAGTAGGGGGATAACGCTCTTTGGGTTCATCAGGAGAACCACCTCTCATACTAAAAGTCATCTGGCTCATATGTAAAATATTAATTAGGACAATTTTAAAGATTTAACAGAGATTCATGTTGGTTTATTAGTCACCGTTTAACTGTAACTAAGCTCTCTCATTTGGCTGTCTAACACCTGAGCAACACAATTGCTGTAGATAACAAAACCTCAAATGTCTGGTTTTTGAATACCAAAATAACTGAGTGGTGCTTCATTGTCTCGGTAAACATCTTGGCTAATGTGTGAATGGTACAGACCCCAGCAAGTCATATGCGTCAATCAGACACCAACCAAAGGTTTCATTTTGTAGTTTGGCCAACTTTTGGAATTAAACGTGATTAGCTTCAGCTGATGAAGTCCGCTGGTGGCATTTGGCCTTTCAGGCAAGAGCAACTGGGGTCATAGGCTAAAAATAAGAAGCTTGGACTACTACTGTATTTTTTGGGGGGGCAAAAGGTAATTTCATTTTCCAGTCTGAAACATGTCATTGATTTGAACAAGCACTGTCGATATAAAACACTGCTCTGTATGTACATGGCTGGCACACAATGCACAGTAGGCCTCTGTGTTTGCTGTGCTGGAGTCCCTGGATGGACACTCCAATATCAGCTCCTCACACAGAGCAACAGGGAGGCACTGTGCTGTACAATAAGTGTCAACACCATAGCGTTCACTTATTACTCTCCTCCTGTCGTCAGATGATATTACAGCCACTTGTCACACTCAAAGAGAGTCACCATCAGAAAGAGAAACCAAATGATTTATTACCCATTACGGATGGGTTTGCAGAAATCAAGTGTCACAGGCACCTCCAACCTGTCAGTGAACAGCCAACGACACGAAAAAGGACTATAGGGAAATAAAAGCTGCAAAATTTGTATGTCAATCTGTTTCCGTCAGCGTCAGTGACAACCAAGGCAAAAAGGGCCTAATGCCCTTGATAAGACAATAAACTTAAGACATTTGAGAGCCACATAAAGATAACGACTGCACAGCTTTTAGTGCCCAGTTTGTTTCCCGTCAGGCCAGACATTTACTGCATTTACTGTCATTGTTATGTTAAATGCCTCTGTTTTATACATACATACACACATTATTTATATATATTAACAACAATTTCCCTGAGGTTTGCACCAAAGGGATCAATAAAGTTCTATTCTGTTCTATATATAAAAATAAAACAAGTGTGATAAAAAAGAAAATGTGTCAAATACTTCAAGGATGACGAGGATTAGATGGTAATTTTCTCAGTGGACAGTTACGCCACCGTGCCAGGGAGTTTGCTGATGGAGATGCTGTGTCCCTTTGCCCTATCAATGATCCTGACGGGTGACCACTTTATACAGTGAGCATCAACGGCCAGCAGACATTTAATGGTGTTGTTTCTTTAAGACGCTGGGATCTCCCCTTGGGAGTAGAGCCTGCAGTACAGCAGTGGCTATACAGTGCTACCTCCCTCACACAGGCGTTTGTTAGTGTGAGAAAGCACCCAGCTGAACCAAAGACTGAACCACTGTGTGTCGACAAGGCCTGCCAACAAAGACAACCTTTCAGCACTCAGCAGTTTCCCCCCTTCTCGCTTGCTTTTTGCAGCAACATTCACAGCAGTTCTAGATCCACTGGCAGAGCATCGAGTGCACTGGCCTACCATACATCTCTATCTCTGCTATCACGTGGTGCAGCAGGGTGACACTGGCATTCACCTTTGTCCTGTGCAGGCAGGTGCCTCCTCAATGCCCAACCACGCAAGACGTTCAGCAGATAACAGGCAACAGCTTCAGACTGACTAATCACCGCGTGCTGTACTTCAGAGGCCCGCGTTTACGATTTATCACATTGCAACAAAAGAGAGATTAAAGTATTTCTAACCAATCAGATTACACCTGCTATCAAAACAAAATTGCTTTATTGGTTTCCTGGTGGAGCAACCTTTGTTCTAGCACACAAAGTAATAATTTACATACATCCTCAAAGGTTTACTGAGATCAACAGTTGACTACTTCACAAATACTTGACTGTATGAACTAGGGGAGTAAAGAAAAGCACGTAATCCATTTTAAAGTCTATCTTACACTTTAAACTATTAGTTCTTCAATCAATTAGCCCTAAGAAAAGTGATCACCTGAGATTCTGGCAGCAATTTACCACTGAAGGCTTGCATCACGCAAAAATGCTGAATAAAAATGTTAAGCTTTCTGGTAATTTGCTCTCTTCTTTACATTCTTCAACAGATTAATATCTTTGCTGCGTTGGACTAACTGCTCAGGCAAACTGAGCATTATTAAAGACACCAAATTCTCATTCTGGGAAATAGTAAATTAGCATTTTCACTATTTCTGACTTACATACACTAAACAATTAGTCAATTAATTGAAAAACAGTTGACAGATTGACAAAGGGAACTTTCCTATTCCTACACTTGGCAGCAGTGATTTCATGTTGTACCTACAAGTGAACATGTAGCATTGAAGTGGCTGACAGACAAAGGAGGACGCGCTACTCATGTCAAGCATGTGTTAGCAGGTGGTCGCAGATAACAGGGCTGTTATTTGTTTTAGTCCGTAAGGAAGAGCTCAGTAACAGCCTGTGACAAAACAGAAGCCCTACTAGACAAGCAGTGACATTCACTGGGTTACCCCGGGGAGCTGTGAGATCAGGGACAGACAGAAACATGTGGACAGACAACTGTGCGGGAGTCTGGGTGAGCCTGAGAATTGTCAAGGGAGAAGCCCTCTCAATGTGAGGCCAAGCAACACTAGTGCAAAACTTCTCAAAGAGCAAAAAAAAAAAGGTTCAATTTAAGTTAAAAACATAAGTCTAAGAGACGTGACTATTGTGAAGATCATAGAAATCAAATAAAGTCATCACTGTTGCTCTAAAATACAATTAACAATAAAAAAAAAGCATTAAACTTCCACCTAAAATAAATGAAATCCTAAATAAGTCCTCACGATCGGGTCCTCCTAATAGCGAGGCCTTGTCGAGCTTGATGACACCTTGAGCACACTTTCTACTCTCGCAATTATACATTCAGACAAATGTTAGGTCCAGTGGGCCATGAGATCCATGTAGCGGTGTTATGGCCCTAATGCCAGATCCAGATATAGCTGGACACCATGCGGATAAAAATACCCAAACAGATGGGAGGGTTCACAGGCAAAGGGGGAGAGGCAGCAAGCACAATTAAAGATTTCAGAGGAGAGGAGAGCTGCAATTACAGCTGTTTGCTAACCTCTGCCTTCTATGTGGTTAGCAAAGTCTTCAGTGAATGCCTGTTCAGAGATAATGACCTCCCTGGGAGATAGAAATGTTAAAGATAATCATATATAGACCAGTGTAGTTGTGGTGGTGATGACGCCTAGACCCCAACGGCTTCAGCATGAAACTTGTCTTGGCTTATATTAAGACATTGTCAGGAGTAAAAAAAACACATCTCCAAGTGATCAAAGTGCTACAAGTGGTGGCAGCGCATTTATAGTACAGAAAATATGTGAAGAGAAACGATGATGCGCTGAGGAAACGGCTGAGCAGTCACTGGCTGCCCTGGAATCGAACAATCAGAAAACAAACAGGCCTTGACATTTCACGTGGTTTTTCACAGCCCGTCAAAATGCTACTGAACTAGTGCCGCTGAAAAGAAGTGCTCACGCTGACACGAAACAAAAAGACACAGTGAATTATTGATTGTTCATACGGCTTGGTGTGAGCTTATTAAATAAGAGCTTGCACATGAATTGGCATCATTGAATCACTGAAATGTGGAATAGAGAGGTTGTAAGTTTAAAAAAAAAAAAACAGTTTTACAAAGATTGCCGTTGTATATCGAGTGCCTTGTTTCACAAAACCTTCGAGGCATGAATTCTACTGCACTGAAAGCACAGACAGAAAGTCTAACCACTCCTATTTGAAACCAATCCGAGCTTTAAAAAGAAGCTTACTTTCAGTTTGACTCTCTTTGAAATGCCCTTGTTTGGAAAATTAAAAAAAAAAAAAAAAAACATATCAAAATATGGTTTAAGGCATTATTGAGTTTAGTCTCAGCTTCTTCACCTCTTTGATAAAGACGAGCTGAGCAGAGCTGACTCATTAACAGCACATGAGGGCAAGCTGTGGGAAAAGAGGGGGAGGGGGACTATTTACTTCCTGTGTCTCCCTCTCTCGGGTCAAACAGACAATTGGACGATAGGGCTGTTACGTTTCACAGACTAATTTAATATGTTTTGTAAAAGAAACAGCACAATTCATATCAGTGGAGCTGCATTTATCATACAGGATAGTGTGTCATGTATCAGAGTGCTGGTGAGTGACTGGAACACAAAGCTCATGTGTTGTTGTTGTTAGCACACCAACCATGCAATTTCAGGAGACATGTTGCACTTACCAATTTGATGGCCACATATTCGTTAGTATAGAGATTTTTTCCCAGCCGCAGCTCTCCAAAGTTCCCGCAGCCGATTTTTTTACCCACACGGAAGTTTGGGCCAACCATAAGAACTCCAGAATTGGTCCCTGAACTCCTGCCCCCATGTCCAGTCCTGCTGCCTGCTGTCTTAGACATCTTTTTACCTTCCTCTGTCTCTCCCTTGCCCCCTCTCTTGTCAAAATCCATAAGCTTGTGATACCCTGGCCTCTCCACGGTTATTCTCCAGCCATGCAAACCATAGAAACTCCAATAACAACGATGGAGCACACTTTAGGGAGGGGGAGGGAGACAAATCTCACAAGACAGAGGAAAGGTGTTGCTGCGAAAATGTGCAGTGGTTCAGAAGACACTTAAACGAGCTGAAACTGCAGCTGAAGTGACTCGTGTGTCTACCAGACAGCTTTTCCCTTTTTTTCTTTGTGTTCCTTGTTTACCAGAGGGGCTTCTTGCTTGTGTGTTTCTCCAGTTCCAGTCTCAAAGTAGCAGGTCCCTGCCTGGCAAGTAGGCAGGCTGTGCTAGGATGTGCCCACAGACGCACATACAACACCAGTCATAAAAAAGCACTCCGAAACCCAGCTACTGCATCCACAAGGCCACTTGGGAACATCTCCTGGAGTGCCTCATTCCTTCTGGTCAGCCTTCAGTGACACAGTGGACACTCTCCATGTTGCGGGGCCACAACAGAGGAGGCAACCCAGAGCGAGAGAAACAGCGGTGTGCAGGTCAGGTAGCAGTTTGGTTCGATCTGCAAAAGCAAAAACACACACAAATGAGTCTACAGACTACGATGCCATTTTCTGTATAGCTTGTAAGAACAACCCAGATTTTTTGTCACACATAAACTTATTTTTACATCTTTTGACCTGTTCAACATGTTTTTCAATAAAGTAAACAGATGTTGACTGACACAGATGTTTCCTAAGTGCAGCTGACGCCCCCCTGCAGAGGTTATTCTATTCTACACAGCACAATTTACTGACAAATGCTATTTAAACAATCTATAAAGTGATCAGTTTAAGTCAAAATATTGAAAAACTCAGCAAATCAATAATTATCTGTTCCTACAACGCTTTGTGATCATTAGGAGATGACGTTTTTCTTTAAAAAAATCAAAACCTTTTACTTGAATATCAAATTATGTCTACTGTGGCTGTTCCTTACTACATCTGAAATGAGATCTTGATGCAGACTGGCGCAACGCAAATTCAATAACGCAATCAATAGGAGCAGAAATATTCTACAGTGGACTTCAGACATGAGAAAAAACAATCTTTTACAATTTAAGCTATTTTTAAAAGCCTAAACAACTTTGAGTAGATCAGAAAACAGTATTTTGTAAACAAGATTAATATATCTGATGTTGTGAAACACTGCTGACGTCAGTTTCAGGCTCAGTCTTTTGTAGTTGTGCAACCCTCAGATAAAAAGAAAAATTAGACCTAGAAAAAAAAGACCTGCAAAGTCCTGGCAAAGTGAATGAGTACACATCCAAGAGGCAAGGATGAGAATAAAAATACATTTCTTTACATATGTGGAACATTTACCTGGTGACAAAAGTGCACAGTTATCAGACTAAGCTATGGGCGTTCACAGCAGCAACAGCAGACACAAACAACATCAATCATAACAACAACTTCAGTTTTCATTGGCTCTGCTCTCCTTTTCACAAACAACCACATGCAGACGTCTCTGCTCGGAGCCGCTCTCCTAACTCCCTCATGTCCATGATCTAAGATGCTGCTGGTGCTGAAGAGAGCAGGTAATGCAGGCACCAGCAATGAGCAGCTTCTCTTTCCTATGGAAAGGCACTTACACAGATCAATGACTGCTGTAATGCCTCATCTCATCATAACATTTGCATTGCTGGGAAGCATATTATTGGAAGGACTTGGACACAGTCTAGTCTACAGCTAGCTCAGCTGTATCTGACAGACTGAAAACTAGTATTGTCATTGTCAGACTAAAACACAATATCACTGGGCATATGCATGCTGATGATGAGCGAGCACTGGTAAAATATTCTTTGGAAATACTCAGATTTATGATGACTTGATTTTAAACTGCTCCACACAAAGTTTCATCCTCAAACTCCAATTAACAAAGCTATATTAAAATGACAATGGCTACGAACCGCCCAGATGTTTTGAGGTGCAGACAAACGTCTGTGAGCCTCCTTTACTCTAGTCTGCACAACTAAAAAAAAAAAAAAGGTGCACATTTGTAAGCCAGGTATCCCATCAATCATTACAGGACACTTCTTCCTTGTTCATGACTTGCGGCAATACTCCCAGAGGAGAAACTGGCCGACAAGCTCATGAGATAAGAAGTGCAATAATTTAGTTGGGTAAGCAAAATGATCACAGCAACTCCTGCCTTATGTGAAGCACTTTATTGTCAAGGTGACCCAAAAAACACATGAAAATGCTTTTTAAAAAATAAATAAATAAAATACTATGGACATGTTTGTATATGAGCAAGTATAGAGATGTCCCTGAAAAACAACAAAGGCCTAAATAAGTTGTTCTCTCAGGTAACTCTGGGGAGTCTCAGCCCTGAAGTCTAAACTGTCCCATTTCAGGAAGTTGTGAATGTTTTTCACGTCAGCTGTCTGACATCACCACCCAATTGTTTAATACACACAATATAAATGGCGATGTATATTTCCCAGTATTGAGACGGCATTAAAGCAATAACAGACAATACAATTAGTAGTAATATATCTCTCCATAAGGAAATCTTGATAGAAACAGTGTCTTGGCTGCTCAAATTATAGTCACCACAGCTAGTTCGCAATAACACGACACCAAACGATTTTAAACGTTGTAAATACGAATCCACATATCAACAGAGATCATCAAATTGAGAATAATGAACATCGACATCAGACTGGCAGACCTTCCTCACCAGTGGTACAAGTACCTGCCTTTTTGAGCTTATGGTGATGATAGCTAGCAGCTAGCTGGCTACTGAATGGTGTCTAACAGCTGTCATTTAGCGCTAGTTTCGGCTGATCCCAACCACTCGCTTTCACTAATGTTAGGACGACGTTTGTTTTCCCACACGAGAACACACACGGAAAATAAAAATTTTCCGAGCAAATGCAGCCGGTAAGTGTTTCCAGAAGCGCTGGCGTTACCGTTGGACTAGCCAGGTTTGGCGGACAAGGCCAGATACTCTCCGGCTATCCTGGCGTTGGTTAGGAAGCTCAAGTTAGCTTGATGTCGTTCAATCGTAGCCAGTTTGTTTCAGTGCAACTGCTGTCTCGGCTGAATAAATACACCAATAACGGCCAATCAACGTAACGCAGACGTGTATTTTCAAGTTGTGGCTCAGTCTGCTGAATTAAGCTAACCTAGCTAGCACCCACCAGAAACAGCGTTCCTGTTGGCCCAACGCCTGTTAAAAACCAGCTAACGATGTAACATCAGCTAATCTGTTCACAAGAGAGCACCACAAAAACACAGCCAACCTAGCCGATAGCGAACAAATGGAAATTGTACAAGTCGAGGCAAGACTGAGCATAAAATATTCATTGATTGACATTCCCCAGGCTACATATACCTGGCTAGTTAGTAAACGCTTAATAACTGAGAAATAACAACGTCTCAAGCGGTGCCGTCACTAATGTTTTCGACTTAAGTGATATTAAGACAAAAAAAGGTCGTTAATTCACCTGAGAAAATCGTTGTTCAGCTCAGAGTCCAGCTACAGCCATTACACAGACCACTGCCGGGCAACTCCTTAATCCTAAACAAGCGACTGCACACCAACGGCAGCCTGGGATCTCTTACCGCTTAGCTCTCTAGCTAGCCATTTAGCAAGCTAGCACACGGAACGCTAGCCAGAGCGTTAATATGCGGCGGTACGGTGTCGTTAAAACCAACAGCCGCCGGAGGGGGGTTTCTGACGCCCAAAGGGAGCGAGTTACCTTCAAACGTCGGCTACAGAAGCGCAGTCGAAGTCATGGTTGTTGTTCGCTCGCTGGTATCTTTCTCGTTTGGTTTCTCTTGTCCCCAAGTTGCTATGATTTCACTGTTGTCTCTTTAAGCCTCCCTCAGCTGCACGGCGGCGTCACGCTGCCGCACTCTGCGCCGCCAAACTGGCGCATCTGCTTTCGTGAATACAGTCAGCACATCAGCCGTCAGACCGGCTGCTCCAACTGCTCCTTT